AGCTGAGGTAATAAGATTGAAAGCATAGAAGTGTTTTCTTGTTCTTTATCGTTCACATAAACATATGGGTAACTATGTGTCCATGTTTGGGTACACACACATTCGATGGTGCAAGCATGTATGATTAGACATGTGGGTGTCGTGTGTTTATATCTATGAGTACCTAAGGTATACCTAAATGTTATATAATGTATCATCTAACTTAAACTTAAATTTATGGGTTTTTTTTTAACTATATCCTATGAAATGATGTATGAGTAATTTGCTTTGACCTTATTTCTTTGTCTTTACACATGTTAAATAATTCTCAAAATTACAAATAAAAAAATAAATGAAGTGCAACATCAGTATTTTCTAACCAGGACCCTATTTTCCCATGTTTTCGTGTCTAAGTGACTAATGGGAACGACAGTTTCTGAAATTTTTCCGGTATTTAGCGAGAAGTCTGCAGCCAGCAGCAGCAAAACAGGCTGCAGTGTAACCACTCAGGGCACGTTCGCCCCTCTGTGTACGACTACTTTAAGTGCTTTTTTTTGCCACTGACAGGCTCAGAATATTATTTTAAGCGTCTGACGACATTATGGAAAGGATCCCAACAGAGATAGACCTTTTTGTTCAAGAGTAAACCAGAAGCAGCCATCGCCTCAGCCACCAGACTCCATATAAATAAATGGTCATTTTATCATCATAAAACACACGTAATTCACAGTCGACAGAGACTAAATAAACTTCGCAAAAGCTATCTTGGTTCAGCTTTCCACCGTTCCAACAATTACCAACACTGGTTTGGCTAAAATAAACTCTTAATTTACCCAGTTAGATGTGAAAATATGCCAGTTCTCTACTTGCCAAAATTACTGTTTATTTAAATGGAGTCTGGTGGAATTGGTGGTAGCAATTTCAGGGCTGTTTCTGGTTTAACAAAAAGGGACTTACTCTTAAACAAATAGTGTTATCTTTGTATGGATGCAGTCTATAATGTCAGACATTTACAATAATAATCGGAGCCTGTCAGTGGCAAAAGCAAGCACTTTTAGTGGACGGTGTGAACATGCCCCTGAGTGGTTACATTGCTGACGGCAGCAGCACTCTGCCTCAATACTGGACCAATTACGAACATTTTTTGTTCCCATTAGTTGCTTGGATACAGAAAATGGGAAATCAGGGCCAGGTTGAAAAATACCTTAGTTACCCTTTAAGTCTGACTTGACCCCTGGTGTTAAGTCTATAGCTTTGTAAGATGGCCTCTTACACAAAATTAAATACATAAAGGAAATATTCTTCATTGTTGTATATTTTAGGATACAGGAGTCAATCATGGATGCCACACCTTGTTCCAGCCCTGAAGCCTCATCTCTTTGAGTTGTAATAGGTATGAAAAGTTCAGTAAGACACACCAGAAACACGTACAATCAACAAAACAACTTTTAACCTGTTGAGCAGAATAGTGTCGGTGTGCTTTGTATTCCACTGGGCTCATTGTGTTGTAAGTGGGTCAGGTCATGGTCAATAATACAATATGGTCATAATCTAGTAAGAGATTTCAAGCAAGTGTGTTTCCAAAATAGACCCTTCTGTTGTGGGACAGCTGGAGAGCCTTTTGGAGGTCAAGGTTCAAGGACTCACGTGGACCACGTTACCGTAGCACGCAAGACTTTTTCCTGGCTGTTGTCTGAAAGTCTGTTGCTGTTCATAGCATTGGAGCCCATGCAACACATAAAAATGCTCTGTGAGTGCAACAGTACTGCTCTCTGGCCTCCTGAAGGGTACCTAGTTACGCTCCCCCTAACCTCACCATCTGCATCACGCTGCCATTTGGAGCCAAGATAAATCACGGAAGCCCCTGTCCATGCTGGGAATAGCTTCTTCCAGATAAGAAGGTCAAGGGTCACATTTCTGGCCAAGGTTGACTGTCCTCGGGGCTAAATAAAGAGCCTAGGGGTTGCAGAGCGGCAGAGGCTAGCACAGGCCCTCACACTCAATTAGGATCAAAACAACCGTCAAACTTGAACTTGGATTTAGGTTACTGAAAGACAAGGAAGTGGAGCAGGGAGCCGTCTGGATCAAACCACCAGTAACACACACTTTATCCTGATATATTTTGATACAAATAACCACATCTGATTAATGGATTAATAGACAAAACAAAGAGCGTCAGTTTAATAATCAGAGGCAGCTGTTTTCAACATTAGTCGGCCATTGTTACGCTGTTTCTAAGGTGTTTGTTTATTCTGCGCTAACCTAACATGACCTCTGACCCAGCCGGTGGATTGTGAGAGCAGAGACACAGTGTGGGAGGTCACTGCCATCATTTACATCCTAAACACATGACAGGCTGTCAGGCAGAGGTTAACACTGGTCAAGTTCACACAGGACGGCACAGATCCCAGTGCACTGTGAGGAGGGAGGTCTCTTTACACATGCGAAAACAGATTGTTGCTTACATCTACACACACAGGCAGTGGATGTAATGATAGTGTAATGTAATGCAACATGATCCTTGTTTAACTTATTGTGCTTTCTCTAACAGAGAGGTGTCGATGAGGCTGTAATCTGTAGTGCTGCATTTAAGGTGTTTCTGATATTTTGTCGATCTCTGTACATTCGCTACATTATTTCAGCTACGCATACACGATGCATTAGTTTACCGTGCAGTAATTCACCTTGATACTGCTGAATATGTGCAACAAGAGATAAAAAAAAAGGAAGAGAAAAAATACTTGAATGTTCCCGATGTGTAGCAAATTCTCCATCAACCCTGGCAAAAACCATTCATATGAAAAGATCCACTCTGAATAGATTTGCATAGAAGAAAACAGAGATTTGTCCTTGTCCGAATGAGAACATGGTACAGCCAAACATGAGGGGGGGAAAAAATCACTGATTTTCAGGTTGTCCTTGTCATCCTTTGATCCCTTGTGAAAAGGCTAGACAGTCATGCTGCAGTGATCAGTCAGGGTCAAAGTCATACTCCACTTTCCCTCCCTCCCCCCATCCTTCCTCCCTCCTGTGACTCCACTGTAGTGTTGTAGCTCTGGCAGCTGGTGGTGCTGTAAGACTTGAGTCTCCCCCGTTTGCTTTTTCTCCTACATAACAAGGCTGTCACCTATTCTATCCTCCTTTGTCCTCTCCCCTCCATCACTCACCTCCATACGTCAACGCTGAGCCACTGCAGCATCCTCTGCCAGGCAGCCCCTGAGCTAGTCTGCCTTTATGGGGTGAGTGGGAACGGACCAGTGCCCTAAACAAACTACGCCACACAAGAAGAAAAGGCAGCTTGAAAAAAAAAAAGGAATAAAAAGGGGGTTATTTCTCTCATTCATTCTGCGCATTATGTCAATGATCCGACAGAAAAAAATGTGGGTTTGAAAAGGGGCTGCGAGGCTGAAATCAATACTCAGATGTTGACATGGACATGCAAAATGAAAAAGTGACTGCATCAGTTCACAGTGTTTTTTGGTTCAATAGCGTGATGTCTGCCACTAGGTCATTTGCGTGAATGGTATTAATTGGGTTCCCTGCGAGGCCACACAGCCAGCGGCTCAGTTATGATTCCAGTGGGTAAATATTTGCCTGTACTAACCCTCACTAGGTGCCATAATGATTCTTTGTGTGTTGCACTGTGTACAATGCGTTTCTGTGTACACATCACTCAGTGCCTATGTCTGCCCGTGTGTGTGTGTGTGTGTGTGTGTGTGTGTCTGTGTTGCGGCTCAATCTCCCCCCCAACATTCCCTCTCTACAGCTGCAGCTCGGCAGAGTTTGATCAATAACGCGTCCTTCATTCTCAAGTCGGGCCTGACCTTGGCAGCCTTTTGTCTCCTTCCAGGGGCCAGAGTGCGCATGTACAGGTTGGAAAACAAGGCTCTCAAAAATCCACCCTTGGAAGGAAAAGAATTCCCCTCACTGCCTCCTCACTACAGCATTCTCATTAAGAGCCTAATGAATCATATATTTATAGCGTTCTTATCTTAGCGTAATGAGGTGATGCCACTTTTGAACTCATTTGCTAAATTACCACAGGCCACACTGAAATGGAATAAACTTCCAATTCCTTGCATATGCTGCTGCATTCATATTCACAGTGCAATAGAGGCGGCAGTGCCAATCCAAAGCGGACTTATGAACAAAGAGCATACGTGTGCAGTCACAGATGACAAAAGGTAAGATGTGTGTTCGGAGACATTTGAAAGCACTAAAACATGGAGGTCTGCTGCAGAGGGCAGTGGGAGTTGATCTGACGGATCTGTTTACATGTTAATGCAGCCTGCAGGTGGCACCATTTATGGATCAGCCCTGCAGTTACATTCTTTTTGTGTTACTCAGTAATGGATATTTAAATGGCCAGTAAGTGAAGAATTTTCTTTCACAGGTACATATTGAATTGTTCCATAATGCTGCATTAAAACAAGGAACAAGTTACTTTTGTGTGTATGGGTGCTCCATCACACAGGCCCATGCTGTATGATTTATGCTGCTGGATACTGACAAAGGTCAGATGCAGGGACGTTACCGCACTGATTTGTCATATAAACCTGTAGGAATACTTTCAGCAACATCAATCATGTTCAGTGTAAAAGCAAGTAAGCTTAAGATAAAAACCTAAATGTCAAACTTTCACAGTTTTATTTTGAATTATACAAAACAGCTGTTCATTAAATTACTGTGTAATATAAAGTAAATGCAGGATGATGAGAACATTTGTACACAGGCCATTCAGTAATGGGTTTCTGCAGGCGAGTCGTATCAAGATCAATTACAAAATTAGCACATTAGTAGTGACAAATTACAAAATTATGTTCTAATCCTTTTGAAGCCTTGTGGTAAAACAGTGGCAGATTTGCTTGCTCCTCGCTTGCTCCAGGGATAAACTTTGAGTGAATGATTTGGCTGAAAAACACCCATCTTTTATTCCACTGCTACAATCCCACTGGCACTGTGGAAGCCTGATATACTCAAGAATTAACTCACAAGATATAACAATATAAACCACAACTCCTCACAGGAATGACAACCTTTTTTTTTTTCAAAATGAGGCCTGTTGAAATGATACTGTTATTTTTAAACCATACTTTCTTTAAACAAAGAACAATTGAGATCAGGGGAAAAAAGTATTGTTTCCTTGTACTGTTAACATCAAAATATGTAAAAATATTCACCAAATCAGACATAAATCAAAACTCAGGATTTATTAAGTTATTCCACTTTTACAAAAACAAACATTCCTCAGGACGTTAGGCTTTACAGAACCAAAAACACAGGACTGCTGTCCACTGACACATGAAACACTGGAAAATTAAAATGTAAGAATAAAAAAAAAAGAAGTATGGTCTTCACTACACTTTCCTCTTCTGAGTGCTGATGTAAAGGACTGTGGAGAGAGAGAGGGAAAAGCATTAGAATGTTTACTGATATTTATCACATACTTTCTTGTTTTGTAGTCTTTTGGTGTGCTTATGCATCAAATTAAAATTTCTCAGTTTTCAAAAGATGAGGTCAATAATTTAAGTGGCCCAACCAACTTTGCTGCATAGTGCATTCATATAGAATTTTACAGTTGGATTGTGAATACACGTAATGCAACTTTACAGCTCATTATTGATGCTCAATGCTGGTTGCCGTCACCCCACCCTTCACCTCCCATGATACACCACTAATAAATTCTCTGCGGGAAACATAGACCCACTCACACAGATCTTATTGTTAAAAAACAGCCACATTTCTCATCCCTGACATAAACTGTGTACTGGTTTTGATGGGTCAATCTAGGTGGAGGTATGAGTCTGCAGACTGTGCAGAAAAGCAGTCAGGTAAACCAATTATTCCTTTTACTTAAATCTACTTTTATCAACCTGCTCTGTTTTGACTAAAATAGCCTCATCTTTTGCTGTTGGCCCTTTTATCACACGAGAACTCCACTGGCCAGCATGACTCATGTTCCAGAGGGAAATCACACAGTAAATACAGTATGTAGCTGGTGTAAGGAAAATTCTAGACGGGGGAATCAAGTTAAAACAACAGAGTCTTCACATTCTGACTATTATGATGACTACAGAACTTATTAAATAGACTTTTATTTCATATAAATCTTAATAAATCTTTTATTTATCAAAGATTGACAGCAGACAAACATTTTAAAAAAAACACACCAGAGAGCTCCTAATGTTGGCTGCTCTACATTTCCCACATTCTTAATATTTTACAGCAGAGCCTGTTACATAAATTTACGGAGTTCAGACATTTCTAATTTGCGAATGGGGCCAGCTAAGGAACACTTTAAAATAAAAAGAAAGAAAACATTTCAATAAAGTGTTGATGTATTTCTGATGGTTGATTTACCCATCATGATTTTTTTCGTTTGTTGAAAAGTGGAGCTTTGTGTTGTCACTCAAACTGTTTTATTATCTGAATCATAACATATCATCTGAAGCATTTCATTTCTATCTACAGTATCACACTTCCTGGGATATCTCTGCTCCAGAGATCCTCAGACTGAGCTGATATACTTGCATCAATATCACTGCATTAAAAATACTTTTTTTGAAAGAGGCACTTTAATTGTTTAAAAAAAATAACAATAACAAAATAATAATGATAAAGGAAATCTCTTCAAGAAATACTTCACCCACAATATGACCATTTTGATAGCTTAATTTCATAAAGAAAAATGTGTTTATCTTGCATGGCTCCACTAAAAAAGGCAAACTTTCATCTACTGAGTGACTGGGGGCCGTGTTTAATAACAGCAAAACTATTTCAAAATATCAGTTTACAAACTGTCACACAACTTGTGCAGTATAATCCAAGTCTCAAGTATCCAGTCGTATGCTCACTACTTCCCAAACACATGCATTTTCGCTAAAACCTCACTAATTAAAACTGAACTGATAATGAACTTATATATGCTCTCCTCAAAGCCAGAATCCAATACAAAGTTTTGGTTGTTGTTTTTTTTAGCATACGTCTAGATAAATGAGAATTGGATTACACTGCACGACTTGTGTGAGAGTTTGTGAACAGATGTTTTGATATACTTCTTATATGATATATACTTGTAATACGTGGTTCCTAAGCAATCAATATGTTAGCTGTTTTCTGTGGTGACATACGAGAAAACAAAATTCTTCTCCACAAATTTAATGTAACATGACCTGACTATTAGAATCCAAATGGTCATTTTGTGGGTGAAGTTATTCTTTTAAGGATGGCATTACTTAAATTTCATACTGAAACACTCGAATAGAACAGAGAACTAGAATGAGACAAAACGTTGTTGGCCTACGTGTCAACAAACTTTCTGGTCTAGTCTGCAGACCTCCACTGTCCATACACTGTTATAATCTGAGTGCCTCATTGTGGCGTGTATGAGAAAACTTGCACACATGTAACAATGATGAAAAGAACCATGCACCTCAAGTCTCAAAGTGCAAAAATGTCTACAAATCAGAACTATGAGTATAAATCTAAGAATCTTACCATTGTTTCCTCTTAGAAAAGCATCTCCATACTTGTTCTTGAGCTGTCCGTTGACATACTCCTCAGTCTGCTCTATGGCAATGTTCATGTAACCATCCAGGCAGGCCAGGACACCTGTGAACACACCATGCATGTGCAGTTTGTGAGCTAAAGAGTAAGTAATCACTTCAAAATAACAATATGGAAACAACAAGTGGATAGGTTGTTCATGTCAGATGCATTACCTCTATAATCGACACCAGAGTTCAGTTTGACCACCACAGGTCTCCCAATTATCTGCTTCAGGAAGTCGCTCGGGGTCTGCTTTCTGAGACTCATCTTGACTGTGATCTGAAAAGGCAGCACATTAACTGTAACTTCAAATGTTATGGTTGCAGTACAATTAAATGAGCTACATTAGCATTAGCTTATTAGCATTACATCAGCTAACTCGTGCTCGATGGCGTCCCTTCGTTCAATCTGTTAGAGCTATATTTACTGTAAGTATTGCGTGTGGGAGCACGTAACTTGGTAATATTTCTGATGTGACCAAACACTACCGTAATAAGTGATAGCAAGTTAAAAGCTGTGTGGAAAAGTAGCGTTAGCTGCTTGCTAATTTGTGAAGCTAACCGGCTAACTGCCAACTCTTTAGTGAATATGCCTTCAATTCTTGGTGTAAGACGGTCGTAAATTTGGTAAATACATTATATACGTTTATTGGAATTGAAGCGGGAGCTCATGGAGATATCTGCGTTTAGAAATTGTTATAATTAGCTATATGTTTGGTAGCATTTCACTTACCTGATAGACGTTCTTCAAACGATTGTATTTGGCATGGACCGGGAACTGACCAATCAGAGGCGAGTACTATACGGCGACAGATTGAGGACAAAAATCTGTGGAGCGCAGTGATACAGATGGATTGAGAGAGAGACAGAACTGTAGTTATAAGTGGTTATAGAGACAGAGACTATATAGATATGTTCTGGTGTGAGAGTCTGACACATTTCACTGTGTTTAAGACACATTTTTAGTTAGAAGATCAATAAATTACAACACAGTGGCACTTTATTTATGCAGATTACCCTGTAGGTTTTTGTACATTTTACAAGCAGGTGAAAAGATCAGTCCCTATGTTTCTACCTAAAACTAGGATAAGATCATATTGATTCAATATTTGATTCTAGAATTCTAGACAGATTAGTAGTACATGTAAGTAGTCTGATCCCGAGGTTGCGCATGTAACAGTAATATAATTCTAGCTCCAAATGGACATGTGCACAGGAAAACCATAACAGACTTTTCCCCTTGGTGTTTGGTAATTTGTAAGTGTGTGTTTCATATTTTCAATTCATATTGCTAGCCATCTTGTGAGATCATGACCACAGCAAGATATTTTTAGTTGCAGACTGTTTGAAATCATTATTAGAAACATACAAATAAAAAAAGAAGTAAAGGCATCTTCAGCAAAAAACAAAACCAAGAGAGAATTCTTTTAAAAAAAAAAAGCCCATAAAACAAACATAATATGCACAACATACACAGCATTATCTTTAGTAACTTCAAGTTCAGAGTTCAAATTTATCATATTTTCTATAAAATCCTGTACAAATATGAATGTATCTTTTACATTTTACTTATAATTTTTAAATAGAATTATAAACCTTAACGTCTGATAGTTTTGTTGTCAAACTTATAATATGGAAAGATGATAGAAGCTAGTATTAAATTATGACCAACCCTATTTTACTTCCATCAAAGTGAATGCTCTGAATCTCACAGACATGTATGCCTCAGAATCTGAGAAATCTGTTCCTGTGTTTTGCACTATGTTTAGTTTTTTACAGCACAGCCTTCATGGAGCCATGCAAACCTCCACAGTATTTGGCTGCTGCTGGACAGTGGACTTGGAGCTGGTCACCAGATGTACATATACTGGGTTGAGGTCTGATCTGCCAGCATGGAAAAGAGAGCAATGGATCTGGATCTTAGTGTGGACTGTAAGTACAGGAGAGCTGCAACAATAAGTCAATGAATTGATTTGTCTCAAATGTGAGGATTTAATGCTTTTCTTTGTCAGATAGTAAACTGAGTAAAACATTAATACATCACATTGGGTTAGGGGAATGATAACAAGCATTTTTCACTTTCTTCTGCCAAAACAAATTCAAGACTATAGTGCAGTATTTTGTTCCTCAACAAGATCAAAAGATATTAATGATATCAGTATAAATTATAGTAAAACTATTGAAAATGCCTCAATATTTGACTTTATAACAGACTTCTCCTGCCATGAACTGAACATTATATCCTCCTGAGACCCTGCATCATCATATGAGGAGATCTCATTTTGGGTTTACTTGACCTTATACTTCATTTTGCTTAATTTAGGCCTGTTGTCCTCGTACACTTTTTTGTGCCATCTAGTGGTAGTAGTAGTGGCTCAATACACTAATCCACGTAAATAGAAGATGGCAGCCATCTCTGCCAAGTCAGCCTGCAGCCCATCCCGACAGAAAAGTGGACCAAAACCTGATCACATTTTATGGTTGAAACTTGTTTATTTGTGATTAATAATATTTGTAGTTTGATATTGCAACAAATTTGACCAATTTTAGCAAAAGTAACAAGACAAGACACTGTTAATTAGAAGGTGCTCGTTTGAAGGCCTTGCGGCTTTATTTTCGTCTCGTTTAAGGACATTGGGGCTTATTTATCATTGACAACGTTTCGTTTTTTATACTTATCGGGTCCTACTGATCCCAAATAGTTAGGAGAAATTAAAAATGCATACCAAACAAAAGAACGGGTCTCAGGAGGATATTTTAATTTCCCCAACTCTAATTCTCAGTTGTATGATTATTTGCTCACATTTAGTTCCTTTAGCATAACCCATTATAATATTGTTGTAACAGTGTTATAATTATACTGTACATATAATACCCAAAAGTGAGTTTAGTCATCTTATTGCACCTTAAATTTAAAATATCTTTAAATCTCTAATGGAATTCTTGTTCCTGGTCTTATAATATTGTAAAAGGATCATCTGCTATCTGCTTTGAAATGTATATAGTATATTTTAAATGCATTATAGCTTTACTGTGGTTTCAATTTTTTTTTGTGAGTGTAATTGAAATCAAGCATCCTAGAGGTTTTAGATCTTTTCATCATTTTGTTCTGCTCTGGCCGAGCTGTGTTGTGAAGGATAAGAGAAAGTCTACCATCTGATAAAACTCTGGTTGCTGGGTGCATGACCCAAACACTGCACAGCTTGGGAGGTACATGAAAAATGGTGCAGGGGCAAAATAGGGATGAAATGGTGAGGTGAAAGATAGAAGAGGATAGAGGGAGGGAGGATGTGCCAGTACGTGTTAACAGAGACAGAGAGGTTGAGAGAAAGAGAGAGAGACGGAGGGAGGCAGAGAGAGAGAGGATTGTGAGAGGTGGAATCATAAAGTACTTCTTGTGTGTCTAGACAGGTTGCTTGTTAGCAGGGCATGGCTAGCCCTGTGGAGGCTAGAGGTTAATTTGGTATCTGCTGCTGTGTTAAACTAAGGTCAGTACTACAAGTCCTTAAGTCATAAACAAGAGTGGTTAAGAGCCATGTATACACCTAGGCACCGGTTAATGAATATTCAATGAAGATTTTTTTTCTCCCTTGTCCCCTGTTCCCTTCGTTGTTTCTCGCTTTGAGGGAAATTTTAGGAAAGAAAAAAATCCCAGTTTATCTCTGTTGCCTTCAAAAATGACCTCTGTGCACTTATATTTACTCGTCCTTTGTTATCATAATAGATGGCCTTAGTCGTAATAGAAAGTGGCTTTTTGCTATTTGAAATGTGGCACACTCATTATGCAGCTCTGTCCCTGAATGCACCAAATGTAACTACCCATAATTTGATTGCTTCATACAATAAAACCAATAATGTAATAATAATGTGATGATTTCTTTTCCAGGTCGTAAAATTTGTGGTTAAAATAAAACTTAAACTTAAGACCAAGGCTGCGTCCTCACCGGCATTTGTTTCGGATGTTTTAATATGCAGCTTGGTAACTGGGCAGGCGATGAGAAAATGCGCTTGAACTGAGCAATCCCAGACAAATCGCAGTATCCAGGGGCCCTGAGATAAGTGTGTTTTGCTTGTAACCTGCAGAAAATTCACCAAGGCAAGATAATCATTCAGCTGAAATAGGGGTTAATTGTAAACATTGACACTGTGGTCTGAAATCACCGTCAACATCACATCCCATTTTACCACGGATTACATGTCAGTGATGACCACACATTCTGCAGCCTATACATTATTTACAATTGAAGCGCGTAGGAGTGCACCTTTAAAATGCCAAGCCTTTTTTACATGCCCTATAATAGCAGTTAAACACATTAGCATTAGAAGGCTTTGTTTTTGCTTCTCTCTCTGACCCATCTGAAGGCTCACAGTCAGTATTTAAAATATACGATTTAACAATGTGCTGTGTACACTAATTTTGGTATCACAGCTAATTAAGTTAATTTGCATCTATACCAATTAATTTCCTCTAAAGACCAGTTAGCAACCTCACCATTTCTGTTACACTGACTTAGTTACAGATCACACGTTTGCAGGATTTTTTGAGTGAGCACATTTTCCTGTTTTGTGTCTAATTGCTTTAGTTTTTTCTGTCTTATTGTATAATAATTCTTACAGTAGTTATCATTGGGACATATTAGTTATTCTTTGTAATGCAATTCATTTAGATGTCTATTTTTAATTTTACTTTATAGCTGCTATAGATTACTGAATTTCATTTATTTAAAAATGGATCAAATGAAATTATTTAATATCAAAGAGCTTGCTTGTAGTGACAAACCCATTATCTGACACTGCTGTTCCTCTCAGCTTCATAAAGTATTTTGGTGTCTTTCAGTTCACTGTTTTGGGTTTACGGCACACAACTTTACTGTTTTGTCCAGTTTCACTTGAAAGCATCGTCTCCAGTTGCAGCAGGCAACTGTTCTCTGAAAAAAATACTTAAAAAATTCAATGTAGGCTACACTCCCTGCTCAGCACCAAACAGCAGATAGACAGTTGTTGACTAGTTGATGAGCATAGTGAAGTGTAAGAGTCGGGAGTTGGTGGAGACTAAAAACAGAGCTAAAAGAGTGTGAATATTGGATTTACATTCATCAGGTGGCCAGAAATTTGACTTCAAATGAATGATAATGTTGCTCAGTAAGTGCTGGATGTGTAAATAAGCAGCTGTTTGCTAACAAGTTACACAATATCAACTTACGTAAAAGGTGTTAGATAATATGTCAGTGTTGTATTCACAGCTTGCTGCCCCCAAGTGGCCAGAAGTCAATTAATTCAGGTTTAAAGTCCATGGGTTACAGTAAATTAAATATTCATTATTTTTTAAAATGGTTCCCGTAATAACCAAAAACATATTTTTTTCAGTAGCAGTAGTAGTCAGGAAGTTGCAGAAGCAGTAGCATGTCATTATAATGCGTAATTGTCCTTTATATAATATTTTATCGCCCGTAAATGATATAATTATTAATATCATTAGATAACTGAAAATCATTTTCTTCTAGCTGCTCCTATATGCTCATCAGTTGTATGAAGCCAAATGTCTTAAACATCTAACATAAAGATGTCTGGACAAACAGCGGAGGACTTCTCTTCAAAAAAAATGCTCTGACCGTTGCAGTGTAAGAGTGGACAGTCAGAAAGCACAACAGCAGTGCTGTCAATTGAGAGACAAATCCCATCTCCATCTCCAGACCTCTTAAGCCCAAGGGGCGGGCTAGTGAAATAGAAAGATTATGGTGACGGGAGATGCTATTGTAGGTGGGAAATGGGGGACTGGACCAAAGGAGGCAGGGGCTTGAGGTGAGTGGGAATAAGAAGGGGGGGAGAGACACATCCCTC